AATGCATAAACTGTATTAAATATAAAGTTAGTTAGAGCGCTTCAATGTTTGCGTCCCTAACTTTTGAGGTTGCTGTTTAGTCCTTAATGCCGCCCTGAACCGAAATAACTTTATATCAAAATGCGTACAAAAACTATAGCCGTAACATTAACGACACTCTTAACTGAAATGCAAAACGAAGTTTCGTACTTTATCTTATATGGACAACATAAGATATGAATACAAAAGACATAATACAAAGCCTGTTTCTATACCCTGACCATCATCGTATGTTATACATTGTCTTGAAAAATATTATAATACTCCGAACATGGAGCATACATAACATTCTAAAATCAAACAACGAACATATGTCAGTACTTTCTCTTATATGGACCACATACTCGTACGTATACGGCTTGAACCTTCGAGAAAGCTATTAGTAGGGGAAAGAATAGTTTGTGAAGAGTTTTTCTCTCTCTCTCTCTCTCTCTCTCGATGTGGAATCATCATAGTTTCCAGAACCCAAAAAATTTAAGTGCATTAAAAGTTCTTGTTTTTCCAACTCTATTTGGAATTACCGAAATAAATTATATTAAAATTTATGTGTTTCGTTTAATCGAAGTTTTAGTAAAATGTAGTGAAACATGAAAATATGATATAAAACTGAAATATAAAAATAAATTGTTTATAACACACACGAAGCAAATTGTGTTAAGAAAAAATTCCAGTAAAAAAGTATGTGAGAACTACAAAATAATTAAGAAAGGAAATAACAATAAAAAATACACTATAAAAGTACGGGGTAGTGTGAAACGGATAATGTTTTAGGCTTAAGTGAAACTACACTGAAAAAAATTATGCGATTCAGTAGCTGAAATGCATATAGAATTTTTTATTATTTTTACTAACAAGGGTACCAATAAAAGAAATAAGAAGATGATTATCAAAAATGAGTTTATAGAAAAAATCCTGGAAAGGAGTGGAAAAAATAAATTCTACTCGTATTTATAAAACTTTAAAGGGTTTCTAAAGAAAATATTTACAATGTAACATAATAATCACCTATACTAGGGTAACTAGCTGCTATGAGGCAACTATTGGGCTTGTTATACAAAAATATGATAAGTACTAGATAATGAACTGAAAAGTTATTAGGCGTGCAGATTTCGTGAAGATATGGTAGCTCAAGCTGATTATCTACATGTCACGGTAATGACGTTGAAATAATGTATAAACTACATTATAAGAACGGCAAAGGATTCACAATTGTAAATTTGAGCATATAATATACACTATAATGTAGTTCCCTAAATACTTAGAAATGATATCAGTTAACTGACTTCTCTTAAATATAAATAAGTGTTACTTATATTTATAAAAGACATTGGTATAGTTTAAGTAGAGTTATATCAGTATAAACAGAATTACGAAAATAAATGTTTGCTTTATGTGACTATAGCACTTAACTTCACAGCTTTACAATTCTGGTACATTGAGTCAATTGACATATAAAAATCAATGAATTGAGAGATAAGCTATATATAAGCAACAGTGCACTGCGTATTTTCAACATCATCGACTCGCATTCAAATATTTCTCTTCGTGCTAAAGACAACTTTCTGTTGATGTATGTGTAGATATTCACATTATTCCAAATATCAACTCGAAGTTCTAATTAATTAATAACAGTTCATTTTCTTTTATCTTTATCTTTTTAAATCTTTTATAATCGGTATTCTAACCTCGTCTATTCATACATGATGTACTTCAAACCATCAAAAAGTATAGTTCATATTTTCAGGCAGTGCAGTATATGGATATTATCTCCCTTGTTATCATCATCATCATAGGCTAAGGATGTACCTCACACGATCAAATAGTACTTTCAATCAACAAATCACTTCTCATGTCTGAACTGTTGTACTTATATAAATTGGATAATACTTACTTACTTACTTATTTTACCATAACAACCCGTTACCGAGTTTCGGCTTGACGCAGCAAGTCTCTGCATGTCTTTTTCTCAACTTGGATAATAACCAACAATATTTAGAAACGTATTTCACACTATTAAAAAAATACTGTGTGGATGGATCTTATCTATTAACCTAACTTAACCTAGAGACTACTGGCTGCACATTAAAAAGTGAACTACTTTAGGGACGCGATGAAAGACATGAAAGAGCCCCTTCACATTTCATGGTTTGCACAAATTAAGAAAGCTTTGCCAAAGTATTATTAATTTATATGCCTGAAACTTTTTATAATGCCAGAAACTATTTACGAAATACACTGAGAATCTATACAGCTAAACATCGCTTTTACACCTTCTTCTATATAAAGAGGCAACTAATCAGCTCAGGAGTAATGACCAAGTTCAATTCATATCAATTCAATTCCACTTACCTGAAAGTTACCCATGTACTTCAGTCCTGGACTATGAACCGATTCTGCACGGGACCGATTTTAAATCAAAACCTCCTACATATAAGTTTATTCACGGACCAAGCCATGATAGCTTTGTAAATTCTTTCTAGAATTTGGAGTCGTACCAATGGTGAAGAGTATCAAGCAAATTATTTAAATATTTGTACAGTTCATGGCGCTGCTGGAAGCTTGCTGTAACGCCACAATCAGACTTTAATTTTGATACAATAATTTCGCTCAGTGTACGAAATCTGTTACTTGTTTAACATTATGTGTCATGTCACTGCGATTAGCTTCAGATATTTTTCACTTGGCATGCAATGAAACATGATACGGCACCTTTCCATGCCTGTAAGCTTCTGCTGCGCTGCCACAGAGGAGGCGTATGCCATTAAAATCGCAAAAATTCTAAACTGAATCGTCACTGCTCCTGCTATGGAATTTATTTTTACTGTTACGGCTGTTGCTTTTGTAGGTGTACAGTGACAACAGTGGAGTTATTTACATACAACTGTCAACCACTACATTGTCCTTTCCCCCACTTTTATGTTACTAGTTAACACTGTAAACTGCCGTGTTTTTTACTAGGTTCTTCTTTCAACTCAGCTCGAAACAGAATTTTCATTCGTTTTTTGTCACGGTTTTTATGCCGCTCAACTTTTTCATGACTGTTTCATGCACAACAAAGTCAACCGTGCACAACACTGTGAAATCCTTTCGAAGGACATTTAACTATGTATGCAACAGCAGAGCTTAAGCGACACCCAAAACATTACGAGCGGTAAAATTGCGGTAAAAACAGCAGATAAGTGAGACGCTCGCCAGATTCAAGTGTTGAAGTTGTGCGGCATCGCAGAGTTTCGCTTGCGGTTTGTTTAACGGCGACTCGTAAGGAAAGATGAAAATAGTCATATTAAAAAGTGCTTAAAAATACAGTTAATACTCCTTGGTAAGGACATTCAATTATGATAATTACTTATATTTCGCAACGACAACGCATAATCGTTTGTAGACTTTAATTGTAGCAATTAAATTTTATTTTTGTTTGCTGCTCGAACAGTCAGTACCTTTAGCCGTTGTGCTGTGCCACTTGCAGGATTAAGAAGTTTTATTTGAATTCGAAAATAGTTCAACTTCAGACAATTGCCGGATAACTGGGTGAAGGACACCTTGTGATATTCGTAACATGAGCAAACGTAAAAAACACAACAAGTTCGCGGTTGGTGCAGGAGTCGAAAATAATGAGCAAGATACTTATCTGCTGGACTTCGTGCAGTGCATCTTTGAGCCTATTCGAAGGTAAACTTTTGCCAATTCATCGCACTAATTAGTCTCACAATCTTCACAAATCTATAAGATAAAAACTGATTTTGTTGAATTTATTTTATTTTTTGAGTCCTGTTGCTGTCCCAGCTCCAATTCAATAAAAGAATTATTATTTTTAATTTGTCAATTGATACTTTATTGACCATTTTTATGGCTCATTTGGGTAGTGCTCAGAAAATATATTAATAGCTCACTTAAACGGTACGTGTCCATCTTTTGAACCACGTCCAAAGCGCTATTGCACACTTCATTATGCATTTCTCGCCGAGAGGTCGTAAAATTCAATTGCTTAAAAATTGTGATGAAATTACAAAATATTATGGTTGCTCCATAAGATAATAATAATAACTTATGCCAACAAACGAATCTCCTGAATGTCTAAAAAAATACACCACTGTTTAAAACTCTGTCTTTTAAGTTATGAAAAACTTTATTTATTGAAATAAAAAACTGCATAAAAAACAAGAAAAATCTTAGTCCATATAATTACCGAACAGTCTTGTCAATAGATGTTACAATGAACAAAGTCGTAAAGCCTTCTCTGGGTAAACGAAAAAACACGCTCAACAAGTCTCTTATTATGCCTGAGCTACTTTATTTGAATAATTAGGATAATAGCCAGGTGAAAAGAGTGTTCGAAAGGAAAATTCTTCGGAAGATCTAACACAATGTACGCGTTAGCAATGTGTACTGAATTGGATGCAGTAGCACATGTAAACCTATTAAAACGCAGTGACTTTACCGGCCAAGTTGTACGAATGGTTTATTCATACTCCGAACAGAAAAGTGTTTGATTCCAGATCTGCTAGTGCAAAATACTTTATAGAATACTTTCAGTAAATGTTCGTATGTTCAGTCAAAGGATGAAATAAAAAATAATATGACGCCAGTCGATATCACTAACTGATGGCAATAATCCACTTTTCGGACTGGCTTCTGTAGGCTATTGAATACGGCCAAGAATGTAACTATTGATGTAACTATTGAATGCAACTATTGAACTATTGGATACGGCTTAAAGGCTGAGTCAACGCTTAACATAATGGTTTAATATAATTAAAGAAGTCTTAAGATTGTAAAGGCAAAAATGTATGCAATTTAAATCGAGTCAATGGCAAAACTCATTATAGTAATTATTGATTAAATATTATATCTTCTCCTTCTTCGCAACTTTTTTCTACCCTTCCAAGCATTTGAAAAGTAAATAATAAAACTTTGAGAATTAATTTTTAAAACTTTTATTTACAAAATTATTTTTTTTTATGTTTTATTGCACATTCAGTTTTTTATCTGAGTTATGCGATTTTTTATTGTTGCTATTCTGTTGTTACATCGAGCGTTGACATTGTGAGGATTCCATTCAGCCAAGGTGTAAACCTTTACCCAAGATTGGGCCAACACCAACACCAATAGCTGGAACACCGAGACCAACTCCAAGACCCAAAGGACCAGCAGCAATAACTGAAGCTGAGGCACTGAAAGCCAAAGCAATAAGCATGAAGATGATGACGAACTGAAAGAAATGTTCTCGATTAGATAATTATTCTGTGTACGTTGAAGGATGTCACAAATATATAATTTGAAAATTTAGTTTAAAAATATCCTTCTTGATTTCTGATATTATTATATTTCGCTTTCTTACTTTCATTTTGTTTTTAGTTTGATTGTTTACTTTCTGAGCAAAGAAAATGAACTGATAACTTTACTGCAATCGTCGAGGCAATTTATACCCTCAAATAACTCTCATGGGTTTAGGGCAATTTGCATATACAAAAGGTGTTACAAAAACATGAAGTACTTTAGATATGAAATTAGAAGTCTACTTTTGACTTCTTACACCTTACAAACTAATTAATTCGAACTGGATGAATATTTGAATATTGCTTAACTTTTCTAACAGATTGCATCATATTTTGCTGTTCAGAAGTATATTGTAGGTAATAAGTTCTGCAAAGGGCCAGTATGAATAATTACTTGAATAAGTGTATGCATTTGACAGCCACTAATGAACAGTAATGTACATATTATATAGAGTTTTTATAATCAGAAATGTGGGTGGTTAAATTTATTAAAATAATAGCCCAATGCATGTGTAGAAAGTGGTAATTAATATATAAATAATTATTACAATATAAAAGATTTACTTTAAACATTATATTATACATATGCTGTCCTTAAAATGTTCGGGCCATAGGTGTCTGAAATCTGTGATATTAGAGATAAAATTGTCACAACCATATTAATATTACTGAATTTTATCTCTGTTTCGAATATGATGATATTTCTAGTATTCAACATTTAGACTATTGAACTTCCCTATCTCATTAAAATGGAAATATGCTCCTATAAGGAGTTACTGTTTGTGACATATAACAAATAATTATCAAAATAATACACTTTCTCAGACTTATTGAATAAAAAATTTCGACAAGAATATGTTTATCTCAAGTTGCCCGAAATTTGAATACCCCAACGCAATTAGTTATATTATTAATCACTAATTTACTATTTATGATTCTTAAAATGACACTGATCTCATAAGATCTTATGTGTTGCCACTGCAGGGACGTTACTAAGCTACAGCGAACAAATCTATTTATAAACCAAACAATATCTCTTGATACAACATACCACACTTTATATATTTCATTGATATCGACAAGAAAGTATAGGATCCGTTTCCTAACAATCACAGAAGAAGAATAAATGAGATAGACGGATATTTCACGTCGCTTGTCACAGCGTCATTTAATTCCATCTATAAAAAGTAATTTATACCAGGAGAATATTCAGTTAAAAATCAATTGGCAATTTGGTGTTTATAACAGTTTACAGTTAGAACCAAGACTACATCGGCTGAAAAATCACAAGGTTGACATATAGAGGATGACCCTATCGAAAAAATCATATGAAATTTAAAAAGTCTGTCAAGTTCTCGTTTACAGAAATTATGGAATTGCACGAACTTTACTTAGCCTTTGCTTTTACTATATTATTATATATACAGATTTGGCCCCAGCATCTCCTATATGTTCGCAGATATTAAAAAAAATTATTTGGAAAAAAGATATTTGTTCAATGAAATAGTCATCGCCATAACAAATGCCTATTTGAAGGCAAAAGATAAGTCTTTTTTCAAGAAAAGTGTCGAAATTTTACAGAAGCTCTGGAATGGTTTTACAGGATCATATCAATGAGCGCATAATATCGAAGGTGGATGACTCTGAAGGGTATGGAATAAACATTGAAAATTAAATGAGTGCTTTTTGACAACATTTGAAATTCCTGTTGTTAGATATGTCACCAGATTTGTTAGTTTCTGAATAACTTTTTGATACACTTTCATGCTTAGACACTTAGACAAGAAGCACTAAAGGGAAGATCTTAAACATGAGCAGATTTTTGAAACACATATGTTATATATGTTATAGAATCTCCAATATCTCCTTCACTACATTCCTTGATATATTTATATAATATAAACGACCTATTTCATATCTAAGTCTGCAAAGTGGCACTAGTTACACTCGTTTAGTAAAATCAAGCTTCAACCATCGTGAATTAACGATTACTCTAACCCAGCTCTCTGAAACACATCCTTTCTCAGTGTCTTGTGATGTCGTCTCATTGTCTGCATGTCTTCCCAGCCGCGTCATTTGTAAAATTGACTTTTAACTTTCGTGTTAAGTGTGTAATGAGCTTTTAAACAAAAACGATTATTTTTCAGTCATGCTAATTTTACCGCTTCAGATTGTTGTTATCCTTGTTGTTATTGCTATTAGCACAAAAAGTTGTAATACGCAATTATTTACAAAGTTGTACAAACCTTTTGTGAAAGTTTTTTTATGGCTGACATTCTAATTCGAACAAACAAAGTTTTCATTTTCATTATAAACGGAAAAGTTTATTTCATCTGTCAGACTTTTCCAGCTCTTCCAACTGTTTTTCCGAATAGAATCTGCACGCTACACTAATCTGAGAGGCGTATTAGAGTGCTTTCGAAAGTAAGTTATGTCGTGATATTTTATGATCAGAAAAAAATTTATAGAAATAAAATAAAGTTCAGAATAAATTTAAATTGTTTATAGTATTATTATTATTTTATTGATATATAATGGCTAGTAAGATCTATAATGCTAGGAGTAATAATATACTGTAAGCTTTCTATATGTGCTAGGTATTTATTAATAATTAAGACCTTTTCAACTAACTACAATTGTACATATGTTAATAGACTTGTAAAGATGATGTTAAGAAACCATGATAAAAAAGGGGGAATAATAGGTAATATAAGAAAAAGAAAGAAAAAAGAAAAAAAGAAAAAGTAATAAGTAAGAAAGTAGTATAAGTAATAAAATTTAACTCATAGCAGTTGATAGAGATTATTTAAAATATTTTCTCAATCCAACACTGTAATAATATTTTTTCAGTTTATTCTCTTCTTCAATATAATCTGAGATCCATTTTCTTTTTGTTCTGTTAAGATTCCTTCTAAAGAATCTCATTACAGTTAACACATACATACTTGCAGTTTATGCGTTCATTGAAATTCACCATTAAAGATATATTAGCTGTTTATTACAAGAATATTTGAGAACTATTAAATAAATATATTAAAGTAATTATAGAATCAGAGGTGAGGTTAGATCAGCAAAAAAAATTAAAAACCATAAGCTGCGATTGACTGTAAAGAAGTCAACGTTTACTGTATTCCAGAGATGGTCAAGATGTTAAGAGTGCAAAGTGGGAGAAATTAGCTTTAAATCCTATGCTCTTCTATTTATTTAGAAATGAAGTCTCAAAAGATATGTTAGTTATCATATAACTATTTGTATTAGTTATATTTATATCAGAAGTCGCTACCGGCGTGACATTCCAGGTAACCGTCAGGCTAAAGAGCTGTTTCAACCCTACAGTTATGGTAAGATATCCTTCTTCAGCAGAACAGAGTTGAGATTGCTGGTAGGATATTTTACCTTAGTGAAATCGATCTATCCGTAGAAATAGATCGTCGACTCTGCTTAAAAGCAGACGAGACTTCCACTCACATTCTCTGTGACTGTCCAGCCTTGATCTGGGCCAGGAGGAGGTCACTGAGTCGAGAAGTGCTCTGCCCTTCTTACATTAGTAGTTCCTCAACGGCTGACATTCTGGCTTTAATTCGAAAGGCGGAATGACTTCCGTTCGATTAGGGTCTGTTGCAGCACAATATATCAATCATGGTCGCAGTGCTCCGCTCCGTTGGGAGCTGGTACCCCGTTTATTCCTATTCCTATATATAGCCCAAAAAGTGGTTGCGTTATAACCAATGTGATTTTACTTGTGTTAGTTACTTGTTGCATGTAAAAGAGCTTTAATGTGTCAGAAAGTTTTTTGCAAATTTCAAGAGAGATTTTATTTGCTTGGATAAATTTCATTCCATAATATATCACACAAAAAATTAAATATATAATTAATATATTAAATCATTTGTATATATGTATATATTTTATAAATCTATTACACATATTCAATCTATGATTTTATTAAATACTTACTTTCTCAGTATGTTTATTTAGAGTTCAGCTATTGTTTGTTTAAATTTTACATATTCAAGATATGACAAATATTTCAAATTTTGGTCATTTCGTTTATGGGAAATTTATTTTTAACGGTTCCATTCAACATTTTTGGTCTAATTTTCCTTGCTTTATTTTTAAGTAAGTTAAAAACCATGGAAGCCATTTATATGTTTAATGAAATTTTCTAAGTAGGTTATGCTTACTAAGTAAGCAGTGGAAACATACTATTAGATCGTCATTTACAAATAGCTTTATTGCATAGAATTGGCTGCTATAAATAATAATAATAATAATAATAATAATAATAATAATAATAATAATAATAATAATAATAATAATAATAATAATAATATATAAAATAATAATAAAATATAATAAAATAAATAATAATAATAAATAATAAATATAATAATAATAATATAATAATAATAATAATAATAATAATAATAATAATAATAATAATAATAATAATAATAATAATAATAATAATTGCATTTTCAACAAAAAGTTGTGGATAGAAAAGGAATATATTTTCTCAGGGAAATATATCTATAGGACATGCCTATCTAATTTAGCGATCTAATAAAAGGCATAGTAATAGTAAGACTATATATAAATTATGATAAAAAAAGGCAAAATGTTGGATTTATTTCTCTGTTCACATAAAAAGTTATAGTAAATAGAGCTGACATCTTTTTGAACTTTATAAATTACGGCATAATTCAGTTCACATCTTGAAATTATGGCATTTCTTTTTAATTTTAGTAATTAGTCATTGAAAGAATTTATAGTTAAATATATAAAGTCTAAAAAAACAAAAAAATAAGATAATAAGATAAGCTCTACGTCATTAATAGATCATTTGTAACGCAATACATCCTTAACCGAACAGAAAGTATTCTATCTAAATAAAGAATGCCCAAATTTCCCTTCATGTAAATTTTAAAATTTATATATTTTTCAGTTGAAATGAATTTATTTTACGAAAAGTGATATCAAAAATATGATATATAACTCTTTAAAGACTTTCGTAACTATTATCAACAGTAACCAATTAGCGTCAGATATTTTAATTTCACTAGCTCTAACCTAATAAATCATTTTCTATCTCTTCCACTTAAAAATAAAATAATTAACACGTAGAACCATCGTCGACAATTTAAAGTACAAAAAAA